TAGTTTGGTGTTGTTAACTTAACATTTGTGTTATTAGTTAATGCTTGATTAAACTCCAAGATGTCTACTTTTTTTAATTAATTACTGTTCCTTCATTGAGTTGAATATTAAAACCATTTCGTTGTATCACTTTAAACTTTTTTGTTTCTGTATCTGCAGTTATTTTGCCCCTTCAGCTAAAGAGAAGAGAAGAATGGAACTATGTATAGTTTACGGCATCGAGTTCTTCCTCCACAGTTGCTACTGAAATGGCCGAAGGAAGCTTTGTTTTGTTTGTGGTTATTGCATCCCGAGCCAAGTAGTCGTCCAAAAATGGGGTAATCTCTCGGTTTTAAATCTTATGGTCTGGCATTAAAGGCACATGTTAGAAACACACATTGTATAGGTGTAGCTGTGTAGGTGTACTTGTAACCGGTAATGCGATAAAGCCTTGCACATTTTCTCGGTTTTTCTGATGAATAATGGTGTGTTTCATAATGGTGAAAGTAAATATCATCCACTACCTGAAATCACTTTTATGTCACCATTGCTGTTCAATATATAGTCGTAGTGTGATCTATTTGCATCATTGGCGCATAAAGAAATTATTTCGGTTTGGAGTTCCAACTTTTGTTTATAATAGTTTCAATGTATTAGTATTTTTTTTGCTTAACAGTGAGTTGTTACAAAGTGAGTTTCTTAATGAAACGAGTGATGATCTGGAATAACGTGAAGCGGCAATCGTGCTCCGGGAGAGAATAGATGAGCAAGAGTTACTGATGGAATTTCTTTTGATGATACAACGAAGGAAACAGGAAGTCGCCGATTGGTTGCAAGTTACTATTTCTTTTCTATGTTCCGACATTGCAGAAGTTACGAAGCAGCAAACAATCTTGAAGAAAAAGAGTAGCTCATATGCTGAACCAGGGAAAGATGACAATTCTACATCGAATCTTCCCTCGATAAATATTGTCAATACCGATGATTCTTCTAGCTTGGGGTCTAGAAAACGATTTAGACCTTACTTAAGGTTCAAAATGTTGAAGAATGTGGCGATAATCTAGAAACTCGTCAAAAGTCTGATACACACGCTGATATTCAAGAAAGTTTTCTTCTGAAAAGTTCTCGGTTGATGAAAAACTTTAAGAAATTCGAGTCAGCATATTTTTTAACAAGGTGCAGACCAGTGAAGCAATCTGGGAAGCCTTTGAGTAGACAAACATCATTGAATAGTGATGGCCGAGGAACTATTGTTATGACTGAAAGAAGTTCTGTCAACAATTTAACATCGAAAGAGATCTATACCGAGAGCTTGAAAAGTGGATGGATAAATCCATTCCTTGAGGGTTTGTGCAAGTACCTGTCTTACAGCAAGTTAAAAGTCAAGGCAAATTTGAAACAAGGAGATCTATTAAATTCTTCCAATCTGGTATGCTCACTTGGGTTCGATCGTGATGCAGAATTTTTTTCTACAGCTGGTGTAAATAAGAAGATTAAAGTCTTTGAATGTGATGCGATCATAAATCAAAATCGTGACATCCACTATCCCGTGGTTGAAATGGCCAGTCGGTCGAAGCTAAGCAGTATATGTTGGAATAGTTATATCAAAAGCCAGATTGCATCGAGTAACTTTGAAGGAGTGGTGCAGGTAGTTAAAGCCTTCATTTAGCATTCTTTGGTCTGTCGTCTTTTTCTGTATTCTAAATCCATGTCTTGATCATTTCAGGTGTGGGATGTTACAAGAAGTCAAGTGCTCACTGAAATGATAGAGCATGAGAAACGTGTATGGTCCATCGACTTTTCATCAGCAGATCCAACAGTTTTGGCTAGCGGAAGTGACGACGGCTCTGTAAAGCTATGGAGTATCAACCAGGCAATTCTACTTTTGCATTTGATGGATGTCAGCTTTGAAAATAAACGTACTACAATAATCTAATTTTTTTATGTGTATATTTTTTTTCTCGATGTATGATAAGTTTTTTCTCTTACCTGGGCTGCTACTGCAGGGAACAAGTATTTGTACCATCAAAACGAAGGCCAATGTCTGCTGTGTCCAGTTTCCTGTTGACTCTGCCGTTCTCTTGCATTTGGATCGGCAGATTACAGAATCTATTATTACGATCTTCGAACCTCTAGGGTTCCTCTCTGCACTCTAGTTGGACACAACAAAACTGTGAGTTACATCAAATTTGTCGATGCAAATACTCTTGTGTCTTCTTCCACGTATAACACGTTGAAGCTTTGGGGTTTGTCGATGTGCAATTCTATGGTTATCGATGCTCCCCTTCAATCCTTTACTGGCCACATGAATGTAAAAGTATATTAACTCATCCATCATATTGAGCTTTTAATGCTTCTTACATTACAATGTCGAATTTTGTTTCGACTTGAATGGTACGCTAAGTGCATTTGTTTTCTTATAGGTAATAGTAGGATTCACCATAGCTGCGTATGTTGCAATGAATATAAAAATTCTGAAAAATTTATTCGGTTTGCCCGAGTTTGGTTTTATCCTCATGAACAATGACTCTTCTCGGCATAACTTGTCATGGAAAATTATTCCCACTGGTTGATGTACTTCATATTGTTCGTGCATATTCTCCTTGTTGCAGAACTTCGTGGGCCTGTCGGTATCCGATGGCTACATTGCTACTGGCTCAGAAACTAATGAGGTATAATAGCTGAAGACGTTAAAAGCTTATTTTGAATATTACATGGAGTCTGTAGAATGTTTCGCTTTATTTTTTTTGTCAGATGAGGCATTGATTCGAACTCACTGTAAACTGTATCGTATAGGTATTCATATACCATAAGGCTTTCCCGATGCCAGCATTGTCTTTCAAGTTCAACAACATGGATCCGCTTTCCGGAGATGAAACAGATGATGCCGCACAGTTTATCTCTTCAGTTTGTTGGCGTGGCCAGTCCCCTGCCTTAGTTGCTGCAAATTCTACCGGGAATATCAAAATTCTGGAGATGGTTTAGTTTGGTCTCGTCTCGGAATCATCCATGGTCGAAGCAAAGACCAACAAAATCCATGCTCCATGCCGGCACGAAACATCGAATAAAGATGAGTATCAGACATTGGAGAGTATTAAAGAGTATAGCATTTGAGAGGGAAAAAAACATTTTTGGCTGTAGATGATAACAGATGCAATATATGTAGAAAAATTCAAAAGAAAAAACAAAGGACAAATCAATCCTCTTGTATATTTTGTAATGCTTATAGTTCATAATCATTTTTAGCAAGGATTTTTTATTTTCTGATCCATTACAGTCTGCCATTTCTTGATGAAGCTATTTATAAATACTCCTATCTTAGTCACGAGGACGATGACCCGAACATGAACCGAAATTCCTTAAACCAAATCCAAAGCTATTCAAATAAAAGCTCAAAACAATATAAGATTCAATAGGTCAAATTATCAGTGTTCTTATTGAAGTTCTATTCGATACAAATGTTTCAGCTGTTGTATGCCTCATTAATGGGACTTCTCCATTAGACCTATCTACATTGATCTTGACCATTATTAGCTTTCATAACCAACCTAGTTACAATTTGGTTAAGCCTTTGAGCTCCTGGACCTGGTCTGATCATGTTTGAGTCCCCAACTTCCGTACATGTCGGTTTGCCGGAACACCAATCACCTGGATTGAAGCTTCTGTTTTCCCTGCCAAGCAAATCCGTATCAATCTTGTCCAAGACAGGATCATCGTGTATGAATTTCCGTGCAAATGGCGCATTACGTCTAATAATCTTATCCGTGTCGTTAATGTTAAGGATGTGCGGGTGTTGTTTTGGGGGAGTATCCCACGAAATATAATGCATATCGTGGTTGACAACCGTCTTTGCAAACTCCGGAACATTGCATACGACCGTCTGAAAGTAGCCTTCAGGGGAGGATACAGTTTGTGTAGTACATGAGAAGTATTCTTGGTAGATTATCCCAACCCCAAACACAGAATTCTACGAATGAACGAGACAGAACCATCCATGCCGAACCTGCCATCGAGGAAGGTGTTTTAAAATGTACACGCGGTTTTCAGACAAAAAGGAGATTTTTCTTTTAAGAACAAGGATCGATCCATCTGCATGGTAAGTCGATGCAAATATGTTTCCAATATGTTTCAGCATGGGTAGCTTGATGATCCTAATCTGTAGCTAACTTAACTCAAACACACCCCATAGCTTCAAATATTCTAGATTGAAAAAAGAAGGTTAAGTAAACACTTATATATCTCAATTTCAGATCTAGTATCATGCTGATGTTACATTCATCAATCTTCTCTAAGACCTTGGGCAGGGTTTCAAATAGCAGCTGAATAGCGGTGTCGCGGCCATTATATCGCGGTTGCAGCGGTGTCCGAAACCGCTATCGCGGAAAATAACGGTGTGAAGCGGGATCACACCAATAGCGGCATATCGCAGCCGCAATTTAACGGATAGCGGCCAATAGCGGCAATAGTAGACCGCTATTCTGCTATTATTCCGTTACTTTATTTTTTTTAAAAAAAAACATGTTTTTTCATTAAAAAAATCAGGTCATTCGAAAAAATTCACGATCGTAATATCCGCAATGACCGCAATAGTATCTGTTATATCCGCAACCGTGATAAACGCGACTGAAAACGTGACCGCGAACGCTATTTAAAACCCTGACCATGGCATAGAGCAGGAAAGAGTGCTGTTGAGAGTTTCTTCCAATATGAAGATTCAAGCTTTTACCAGGTGCAACAATATGTAGAAGTATTTAACAATGAAGGTTTATTGACCAAATAAACATTGAACTAATAATGGATTGCCTTTGGAAAATTTCGTTAAAGTTTTCCTAAACTACACTTTTTGTTTCTTTATAATGGAATTAAAGTCACTTTGGATTTAAAAAACTTAAATTTTTTTTGTTGGAAGACCTGGAATATCTATTTCTACTTCTATAATAACAATGACTAGCTTGCAATAATTTCATTTCATCTACTTTTCTTTCCCTCTCAATTCCATTCAAGGAGTAGAAAGAAGAACAATGAGATTCCTCCTCCTCCTCCTCCTTATCCTCCACCTTTCCCACTCCTCCGCCGCAGGAGCCATCTCTGAGCATCGTGCGCTCATGGCTGTTAAATCCTACATTACCGACGACCCTCGATCTTACCTCTCCAACTGGAATGCAACTACTCCGCTTTGCTCATTCACCGGTGTAACGTGCGATTACACTGGTCGTCATGTGACCTCCATCGACCTAACCAACTTCACCTTGTCGGGAACTCTTTCCCCATCATTTGCCCACCTCCGTTTCCTCCAAAACCTCTCCGTCGCAGCCAACCAGCTTTCCGGTCCAATTCCAAAGGAACTCTCTGCCCTCTCCGATCTCCGTTACCACAACCTTTCCAACAATGTTTTCAACGGTTCCTTTCCTACCCAGCTTTCCCAGCTGAAAAACCTCCAAGTCCTTGATTTATACAACAATAACATGACTGGGGAATTACCGGTTTCAGTCACGGAGCTTCCCAATCTGCGACACTTGGATTTGGCAGGGAACTATTTCACTGGTCACATCCCGTCAAGTTATGGCCTCTGGGAGCATCTCGAATATTTGGCCGTTTCGGGCAACGAACTTGGCGGGAAAATCCCACCTGAAATCGGCAACCTAACCAAGTTACAGCAATTGTATATTGGTTATTACAATACTTTTGAAGGTGGTTTGCCACGGGAGATTGGAAACTTGTCGGAACTTGTTATTTTCGATGCCGCTAATTTCACGTTAACCGGCGTAATACCACCAGAGATAGGGAAGCTGCAGAAGCTCGACACGTTGTTTCTCTACTATAATTTACTGTCCGGCTACCTAGCTGCGGAGCTGGGAACCTTAAAAAGCTTGAAATACATGGATTTATCGGACAATATACTTACAGGTGAGATTCCGGAGAGTTTCGCTGAGCTTAGAAACTTGACTCTGCTCCAACTTTTTAGAAACAACCTTCAGGGACAGATTCCTGAGATTATTGGTGAGTGGCCCGAGTTGGAGGTATTACAGTTATGGGAAAACAAATTCACTGGAAGCATTCCTCAGAAGTTGGGCAGTAACAAAAAGCTTCAGATGTTTGGTCTTTCATGGAATCAGCTAACCGGTAAACAGAAGTTACTCGTTTCTTTCTTTTTCTTTTAAATGTAAAAGATAAATGAAACATTTGCCTATAATGGTAAGTATATGTTTCAGGTACAATTCCTCCCGTTGTTGGAAACCTGACATCCCTCACACACATTCTTCTTTCCCATAACAAATTGACAGGTACAATTCCATCTCCCTGTCTTCTCATTTTTATTATTACATTTATGTAGTTCTTTAGATAGATTAGAGTTAGATTTGACCATTGACTTAACGGAAGTGGTAATGTGACATGGTATAATAACAATTTTAGTCCTCAAAACTTACACATTCTATCAAATTTGTCTTAATTCGAAAAAATTCAAAAAGAAAATTCACTTTTTAAAAATCTTTCAATTTGGTCGAACATAAAATCCCAAAATTCATCGTCGTCATCTCTCCACACCCTTCATCGACTTCTTACAATGTGATGGTGAGAAAATGGTTAGGAGAGTGACTATGTGAGAAAAAGAGACATTCACAAAATAAGTCCCAAAACTTTGACGTTTTAAAAGTTGACCTAAATTATTAATAAATTAATAAATTATTTCAAATTCAAATGAGTACCAAATTGATAAGATTTTTAAATATTGAGGATTTTTTAGAACCATCTTAAATTATGATCAATTTGATAGAATGTGGAAGTTTGGTGAACTAAAACTATAATTATACCAATGCCATGTCACTAGATCCGTTAAGTCATCGGTCAAATTTAACGAGTGACCAAAACTGAAAAAGAAATTTAACGTTAGGTATATATATATATATTTTTTTTAAAAATAGTTGGATGATTAATACATAAACACAATAATAGGTTGTTGACTAAATAGGTAATTTATCTTATATTTATTTAATTTTTCTTTTAAAGAATCTCCAAACTCTTAATTCTAAACTCTATTCCAATATTTTTTTCTAGGGAAAATCCCTGCCTCAGTATGCAATTTGAGTTCCCTCAATGTTCTCGACTTTATGAAGAATAGATTAAGTGGAACAATTCCATATTGCATTGGAAACTTGAGTTCTTCTCTTTCACACATTGATCTGCAGGATAATAATATTCATGGTAAATTACCAGAAAATTTTGTTAAACATTGCAAGTTGCAAAGTTTTCGGATCAACAACAATCATGTAGAAGGGTTACTGCCCCGATCTTTGGGTAATTGCAAAGATTTGCACCTTCTTGACGTTGGGAAAAACAAGTTACATGACACTTTCCCATTTTGGTTAGGAAATTTGGATCAACTACAAGTTCTCATCTTGAGGTCGAACAGATTCTATGGACAAGTGAATAGCTCGGATATTGCAGTTTCCTTCACTCATTTGCACGCCATTGATCTTTCTCATAATAACTTCAGTGGTTACTTACCTACCAATTTTTTTGAAAATTTGCATGCTATTAAAGAAGGGGATGGAAAGAAAGTTGAACCAGAGTACATGAAAGATGAATTGGCTGACGGAAGAGTGTATTATGTGCAAGGTTTATCTTTTACAATAAAAGGGTTCGAAATAGAGTTTCAAGAACTACTGACCAGCTGGATGGTAATTGACTTTTCCAACAATCAATTCTTGGGAGAAATTCCTAAAACACTTGGTGAGCTTCATTCTCTCATTGTCCTAAACCTCTCTCACAATTGTTTGAAGGGTTCTATCCCATCATCATTTGGTGATTTGTCAAAGCTTGAATCATTAGATCTCTCATCAAACAAGCTCCGAGGAAAGATTCCAATGGAGTTGAATAATCTTGGATTCTTGGAGGTGTTAAACCTTTCTCATAATTATCTGGTGGGACCTATTCCTCAAGGCAAACAATTTGATACTTTCACCAATGATTCCTACACAGGAAACTTGGGCTTATGGGGGTTGCCATTATCAAAAGGTCGTGATAATGATGAGAAAACTCCAGCAAAATTTGATAGAGATGATGACGATGATGATGCTGATGAATTGAATTGGAAATTTTCTATACTGATGGGGTATGGATGTGGGTTGGTGCTGGGACTGAGCATGGGATACATTGTATTCACAACAGGAAAACCATGGTGGTTCATTCGGAGCTACGTGAGAGTTCAACAAAGATTTGCAAAATGGTATAGAACTAAACTCCTTCGCTGATTCCTTTGCAGAAAAATAAAGGCCTTGGACAGAGCATATTAAACTTCATTTCTCGGTGGTTGGTATTGTTTTCTGCCCGGGTGCTTTGTTGTATGTTGTGTTGTTCGTATTATGTTTTACAGGGTCTTCTCTCATGACAGCAGCGTCCGCTTGTGTGTTTATAGCTTGTAATATTTTTTATAAAATTAAAATAAACTCAAGGAAAAAAATATTACTAAAAGATTTTTAAAGATTAAAATATAAATATATAGAAATAATAATTTTAATTATGTTAAATAAAAATGATTTATTTTAATATTTATATATCAAATTAAAATAACTTATATTGTATCTTCCTCGTCAAGAAAAAAAATTATTACTATTAAATGTTAAATGATAAAACAGAAACATATAAAAACAGTAATTTTAATTATATTAAATAAAAGGTTTTTATCTTAATACTTCTTTATATAAAATTAAAATAACTTGTATTGTATCTTTCACGTCAAGAAAAAATTATTGGTAACAAATTTTTAAATAATACAACAGAAATATATATAAATAATAATTATAGTTATATTAAATAAAATGTATTTCGGGAATATTTAGGGTAGTTAGCAATCCATCTAATAAAAAGTTTATATGTATTCAATCATTTCAACTGATATGTATTCGATATTTTTTTCTCAAATTCCTTATAACTCAATAGTTTCAACTAAATATAAAATAATTAAGACTATGAAACACTAAATAAATCAAATTCGATATATATCACGTCAAATATTTTTTAAAGTATCATCACCAAGTTCTTAACAATTTCAATTCTTACATAATATTTGAAATATTTTTGATCAATTGAAAATTACTCCTCTATAATTGAAAACTCGTTGAAATGAAACTCTTTTTGTTTGTCTTCAATATTCTTAGCAAAATCTGCAATAATAAATTCATTCAAATATTTACAAGTCAAACCATAGCTTATATATCACTTGTTAGAAATTTAGAAACAAAAAAAGCTAGATTAACCTAAAATAAAACATGCACAAGAGATATGATTTGATGTAGTTGGCCTTACCTACCTCTTCGAATAAGAGAAACAATAATTTATTATAAATGTTAACCTCATGAATAGTATAAATATATCATATCTCATATATCCAGTGTATCACAAAACATTCTTTCAGCATTCCTACAAAACTCATCTTTGCAAAATAAATCTTACAAATTGCATAGATAAAAAAAATACATCTCTTCAAACTAATTTTCTATCATAATTTTATAAATTTAAACATACCTTCTATTTATAGAAAAACAAACTTAGTACATTAAGAAACTTTTACCTACTATAATTATAATAAAAATTAATTTAATTATTAATTAAAAATAACAATGTTATTGCAACCTTAATTTTAAGGACTGGTGCTTGAATTTGTGCCTAATGGAAGCCTCGAGAAATAGTTATATTCTCGCAACTATTTTCTTGATATATTGCAAAGGTTGAACATAATGATCGATACATTATCTATGGATGTGTATTTTTGGATATCATATATCTGAAAATTTGGATTACTAAAAATATGATTCGTATTTGATCCGAAAAAAATTAATATTTAAAATTTTTTATCGGATAGTCAAAAATTTAAATCCGAAAATAAACTTTAACTTAACAAAAAAAAATAAATTTAAATTTATTGTATTTTATATATTATTATTATTATTATTATGTATTTATACATTTTTGTAGCTAATTAATAATGTTAAATTTTTTCTCTGTTAATATTAAGACCAAGAAGCTAAAAAATGCAGTGGATAAAATCTCCACTGCCTTAACACAATCTAACTCAATCTTTATGAATCCTAGGTTCCATGCATGGCTTAAAGAATCAGGAATAGCCCACATTTCTGCCATAAGAACCGAGCAGATAACTAGGCTACGAGCGAACCCAATAATCCATTTACCTTGGTCGTCTCTCAAAACTCCACCCGCCGCTGCCATCTTCAAAGGTCCTCCTACAGCTCCATCAGAGTTAACTTTAACCCAACTCGTGGCAGGCCTGCACCACCGATCAGTAGCTCGAACAATACCTTTTAACTTCGACCCACTTCGCTTGATAGTATTTCATTCTTGAGTCTAACAGAATGCACCAGAAAATCTTCATGTTCGATGAAATTCTCGTGAAAAAGCATATTACACCTACGTTTCCAGAGTTTCCAACAAATGATAGCAAACAAAATATTCCAATTACTTCCACTGATCGAGAACGCACCTTGGCTCTTCACATTTATATGTAACCAGTCAACATAGGGCATGGACAAGAAGAGTTTGATTTTATCTTCACCGATCAGTATACGGCAAACACCCAAAGCAAACGGGCATCTTGACATCTTCGTAAGACGTTATTCATGTCTTCATCTTCAACTTGGCACAAGGAGCATCTAGCAGAAGCAGCATTATGGCGACAGTGCCTCTCCTTGTTTGTCATCAACCGTCCATGATGACAAGTATGATGCGGCCAAAATTGTTCCATCAGCAAAAAGAACCAAATCATCCGCAAAGAAAAGATGGGATATCCCTGGACCATTTCTCGAGAGATAAATTTGCTTCCACGATCCCGTTTCAACACGACGATTCATGGAGTGAGACAACCTCTCCATGCAAAGCACAAAAATATTGGGCAAAATGGGATCTCCCTAACGAATACCCCTTGACAGTGTGAAGCTGCCCGATTCATTACCATTCCAGAGGACCTGAGTAGAGACAGAAGTTACACATAACATAATCCATCTAATTAATTTATTTGGTAATCCCACTTCCACCAGAGTTTCCTCAATAAAGTCCCACTCAAGCTTGTCGTACGCTTGTTCAAGGTCAACCTTGATTGTCATCCATGTTTTGTTACCCATTTTGCCATGCATGGAGTGAATCACTTCTTGGGAAAGAATGATATTGTCAACTATATTTTTCCCAGAGTCGAAACTAGTTTGATGTTGGGAGATTCAATCCGGCAAAAGAGACTTCAATCTATTAGCTAAAATTTTAGTGATAATTTTGTAGGGAACAGTGCATAAACTAATGGGTCTAAACTGCGAGATCCTCTCAGGCACTTCCACTTTTGGGATTACCACCAAGAGAGTTTTATTTGCCAATTCCAGTAAAGAACCAGTCTCAAAGAAATCATTCACAAAATGAAAGACATTTCCACCCAAGGTGCTCTAATTCTTCTGAAAGAACCTCGCATGATAGCCATCCATACTTGGTGCTCTTAAAGGATCCATCATGAATAAAGTTTGTCGCACCTCTTCAATGGTCACAGGGCGCGTTAACAAGCTCAAACAGTTTGCATCAATCTGTTGAAAACCACCCAAGCAATCCATTCCTACGTTACGACGAGGTTCAGAGGAAAAAAGGTTGCGGAAAAAATTAATCGCATGGCATTGAAGGATAGCTTGGTCTTCACACCATTCCCCATCATCCAATTTAAGCATCCGGACATTATTACGACGCCTCTTGTTTAACGTTGAAGCATGAAAGAAACTCGTATTACGATCCCCGTTCGTTATCCACTTGCATCTAGACTTTTGGTGCCATAAATTTTCTTCATGTTCAAGAACCGTGTTAAGATCTTTTTTGAGGTTCTCATATAGATCCAAGTGGAATTGAGACTTGGAATCTTCCAAGGCCATTTCAATTCCGCGAATTCTTGCTAGCAACAAAGTCTTGCGTTTCCCGATTTGACCAAATACTTCAGAATTCCTACGACGGCTTCTTTCTTGAAATCCCACCAAATTATCGAGCAGAGGAGCAGGGATAGACCATGTCTATATTGTTTTGAGCAAGGAATGCTAATTCAATCTGCAAGGCATTACGGCAAGACTCGAAGGCTAGGGCCTCAGTCTTTCAAGCGAGGTGAGGGTGGGCTGTTTATTATTATTGGGCCTGGGTAAATTTTTTTAAAAGACCAAATTTTTTTTGGATTTTCAGATAATCTAAAACTAAATTTTAGTTAATTTGTATCCAATCTGATTATCTTATTTTTTAGATATACGATATGAACCATCTGAAATTAAAAAATGGATCGTATATTCAAATTTTCGGATCAAATCAATGGATCAACGGATCGAATCAATCGAATTAGATTTTTTTTTCACACCCCTAATATCATCTACAGTCATCACTATAGTCAGATAGTTCGGTATTATAATAGATTTAAATCTCTTGAAAATTTTAAATTTTGATATATTTTTTTATATTTTTTATTAATAATATATTTTTATCTTTAATTTATTTTATAAATTTATCCCTTAATATAAAATCTTGCATACGTATTACTGACAAATAATTTTTAAACAACTCAGTCTCTCACCGTCTTATTATTTCACAATAAAGAGTGTTCCTTTCATGCTGCTGCTATTGGTATTGTTGGTTTCATCGTAGTTCGCTGTAGTTAGTGGTCGACCCCTTCCGTTATCGGCGACCATAGAAAACAATGATCAGTGTCGGATGCAAGGCTTGTCAAGGATGAACACGTAGAATCTGACTTTTTTATATTAATTATTCATCTTATTATTGACATCTATTCTGAAATTCAAATTTTTTTACATTAATTGTTAATCTTTCGTGATAAGAATAATGGCGTTTGACAACACATTGATAGTTTTGTTATTCTTCGATAATATTAATGATTGTTTTGTTCTTTTTAAAATTTTAGTAGATAAAAGAAAATTTTCCTCATGCTTAGATGATTATTTATGTAGTTTACCCTTTAAATATAACCCTCGTAATAATGCATTCATGCATTGCATACAGCAAGTTATGAGGGATCTGTCATCTTTCCTCTGCTTTTATTCTCGATTTTCTCTCTCCATTTCCTGATCCTCAAAACCCTAATTTATTTTTTGCCCTTTCCCTTTTGATTCATCCATTGAAGCTTGCCAATGGCCAATAGTAATCTCCCTCGAAGAATCATCAAGGTTAGTCTTTCGTTCTTTCTTCGATCCTTCTTGTTTTCTCCGATTTGTTTGTTTCCCGAGAACCCTCAAGAAAATCTTTGTTCTTTGACTTTATTATTATTAATATCATTTTGCTCTTCTACAGTTAGTTTTTGTAACGGGAGTTTTTAAAGGGCTTTGATATATTAAAGTCCTTCGCTAATTATTTAAGATCGTTTTCTGAGATCGAGGAAATGATTTCCGTTTTTGTGTGTGAGAATTTTGTTTATTTTTCGTACTTTAATTTGGGTTTCTTCATCTTTGATTTAAATAGGAAACTCAGCGTCTCCTCAGTGAACCTGGTAATTACTCTGTTTTTTTTCTTTTCCGTCTGGTTTTTATCTTTTTTTTTATTAGAGATTATTGTTGACTTTTAATTAGTAAGTTGAATTTTTTTAATAAGAGAGGGTTTTCTTAGTTTCTTTTTATTATGATAGCTCCTGGAATTAGTGCTTCTCCTTCTGAGGATAATATGCGATATTTCAATGTGATGATCCTAGGTCCCACACAATCTCCATACGAAGGTAATTGATTTTTCCTTCTAATTGTTGGAAATATTTTTGCTTTTGAGTTAGAATTGTAAAATTTTACAGTTGATTGAAACCATAAAGATGGGCACAAATGCCTGATTATCTCTCATTAAAATGACATCTGATAAAATGGTTTTCCAGTGTTTGTTTTGCTTTTTTCCCCAATTTTTTAAAGGGTAAATTGATCTGATGTTTTATGTCTTCAAACTTATGTCAAGTGAGCATTTTTTTTTTCCAGTCTTATATGGTGCTTGGTCTGGTTATTAAATGTTGTTTTTATTTTTTATTTTAATTTTTTTGCAGTATGTAATTAATTTTGCACTTGTGTATAGGATTTGACGCCTTTTCTTGTTTGAGATTTTAGGAGGGGTTTTCAAGTTGGAATTATTTTTGCCCGAAGAATATCCCATGGCTGCTCCCAAGGTACTCGACTTTGAATCATTCTTAAAACTAGCATGACTTCGTATCTGCATCTGTTGCTGGCCGATTGCTGACCCTTGGATGTACAGTATTGCTTTGCTTCATCTGAAAAAAAATGTTACTTATAGGGGTCACAATTCACAGTATGATTTTAGAATGTTGTAGTTTGCATCGTTATAGAGAAATCTGGTTTTTACTTGGTGACTCCTTGGGCTTGTTAACTCTTGCCCTATCTTCATATGTTGAAATGTTTGTTGATCGGTGTTGTAGTAAACCTGCATTATTTTTTGTTGATACATGGTAAAATGCTTTTGAATGCTCTCTCTTCCTCTCGCAATATCCTTTTATCTATATTTATTTATATATGGTAGGCACTTCATTTATTTCCTTCAATTTGCAACTTACTATTTGGTTCTGTTGCACTAGTGAATCTCGAGTGTAGTATATTCATAGATTTGCCACTTGACAGTGGTTGGAATTCAGCATCAATTTATTGTTCTCTATTCTCGGAAGCTTTTTGATGTCCATTGATGACATCCTTTTTTTATATATTTTGTATTTTTGCCCACCTTAACCAATTTGGTGTAACAGGTTCGATTTCTTACAAAGATATATCATCCTAACATTGATAAGGTTGGCATATGTTACTTCTTTTGTCCTTATTATATGGTGTGAAAGATGTAACTTTTTGGCTCTAAGGGTTAAACATTCTTGCAGCTTGGGAGAATATGCCTTGATATTCTCAAAGACAAATGGAGTCCCGCTCTCCAGATCCGAACCGTACTTCTGAGGTATTATAAATCTCCATAATATGTATTTCTATCGCGGTAAACCAATGTAGGTTACATGGTCTTGAATACATCAACCCTGCTGAAAATTCTTTATAACATAATATTTTCATGTTGCCATTTTTTTCTTTTGGAAGGTATTACAAGTAAAATTGAAATTGAATAAATCTTTCCCACACTGCCTATTCTTGTAGTTTCCCCCCTTCCCCCTGGAAGACTTATCAGCCATTTCTAACACAAATTTATTGCTAAATTAGAAACGGTTCCGTTTGTGTCTGCTTTGGAGACATTATTATCTTTATTTATTGCATTAAACCGAGTGTTAGAATGCTAAACTGACATGATATCATTACTTCAGCATTCAAGCACTTTTGAGTGCTCCAAATCCCGATGATCCACTCTCTGAAAATATTGCGAAGCACTGGAAAACAAATGAGGTTGAAGCCGTTGAGACAGGTAAAATTTGTAGTTGCAATCTTAGGTCATCGGAGTTGCCAAATTCTTCTAAAATCGATGATGATATGGATTCTGATCAACTGTTTCTGATCAAACTTCTGTGACCCTTTGCAGCAAAGGAATGGACTCGTTTATATGCAAGTGGTGCATGACGACTGCCGATCATTTGCTCTCATAGAATAGCAATTTATGCAATGTAAGCTATTCAATGCCAATTTCATATGGAAATTTGGACGAATGATGTTTGAAAGAGTTTGATGCCTGTTAAAAATCATAATCCGGTTGGAAGCAGTCTCTGAACTTGTATTATAAATACACATTGTTATCTAAAACTCCCAAATGAAGAACTAAGGGATTATTTACTAATATGGTTATTTCAGATTCCTGGTTTGACATATTTGGATATGGATTTGAGTATATTTTTTCAAATATATGAACTTTATTTTTAAAAAATATGAATATATTTATGTTGAATGCATATTCATATATTCATATATTCATATTTGATGTTCATTTTTTCCAAAAATATGAATATATTTATGTTGATGTCAAATTGTTGGTTCAATTGAGAAATGGGTTATTATTCATAAGCATTGATGTTTTAAAAAACCTTAAATTTTAATTTTTAACCATAAAATCTTATATTTTAACTCTTAAATAGAACACACATCTACGTTAGAAATGCGCTTGGGGAAAATCCCATTACGAATACATAAATAATTTTCCATGAGATAATTTCCACGATTCGATAAGGAAAAAAATGTTTAACATACCTCTTGATGTTAGGATTTACTATTTTTTTAATTTTTTTTTTAATTTTTTTGTTTAATTGTCGATACCATCCATCTTAATGTTAGTTGTCGACCATTAACAATTATTAGTTCTTTTGTTTTTTTCCATATTGTGTTCTTTGTTTTCTTTTTTTTCTTGAGTTTTCTTTTTCAATTTTAAATAAGAATTTTTATCCATGTGACAAGTTTTTTTCTCTAATCTTGTGACACGTTCCTGATGACTTTTGGTACGTGTTTTTTACATTCTTTTGTGGTGTTTTGGTGTTCGTAAAAAGATTTTCACGATCTTTTTTTTATTGGTTTGTCGATGGTTATGTATAGCTAGATACCTCTTTGATAAAAGGTTGTTTGTCGATATAGTTACAATTGTGTAGTGAAGCAACTTGGAAAATAGTTTGGTTCGCTCATCACTCATTTATCACTTCGTAAAGCGTTTCGATCAACAGAGACAATGAATTTTTATAAATGTTATTAAGTTCTTTTGATGTTGATGTCGTTCTCAAAGGAAAATTCCGTTTTTCTTCGTATCTTTAGATTTAATTTTGTTTTTATATGAGTTTTTTTATGACTATTATCTCCATTTTCTTTTATGCTTGAGTGCATTTTCCAATTCTTCCATCGTTTTTATTAATGAAATCAAGTTCCAATTGTTCTAATTTTTTTAAAAATAAATATAATAATTTACTTTTAGATGATTTAATATAGATCATATTATGTGATGTTTGAAAAATATAAATACCAAATATATAGAAACTCAAATATTACATTTACAAAAATGAATGATTCAAGTGGAAAATTGTTTCAAAAATATATTTGGTAGCACATTTGTCAAAGGTTACAAGTTCAGGTACCATATAATATATTAACCCAAAAATATTAAAAATTGAAGAGAGAAAAAAATGGAATTTCAACGCGGGGGGGTTTAGGAGGTCTTAAGCAGAGCAAGCCGGCAATGGTGAAAAGTTTTCTACTACTCGTCAATCCAAAACCACCTTGACCCGCCATCTTACCCACCGATTCCAACTCACCCAAATCCCCAGAGCACAATGTCCTCTCAAGATCTGGACCCGAAACAATCCACTGACCCCGAAACCCTTAACGAGCCAGAACCCAAGCAACCCCCAAATGAAGAATCAGAAGCTGGAGGAGGAGGAGGAGAAGAAGAAGAAGATGAAGAAGGGGAGTGCGGGTTTTGCTTGTTCATGAAAGCAGGAGGATGCAAAGAGAGCTTTATTGGGTGGGAGAATTGCATCCGAGAAGCTGAAGAAAACAAGGAAGACATTGTGGAAAAATGCTTTGAAGCAACTGCAGCTTTGAAGAAGTGTATGGAGGCTCACTCCGATTACTACGAGCCGATTTTACGAGCCGAGAGAAAGGCAGAGGAACAGGCTATTATTGAATTGGAGAAAGAAAAGGAGGAGATGGATTTGGGGTCTCAGGAAGATTCCAAGGATTTGCAGAAGAAATCAGAAGGTTAGTGAATTTTGGGCATAGTTGAGGGTTTATCATAGTGATTTTTTAGGAATTAAGCGAAATGCATGTCTTTTTAATACCAAATGTTATTGTTTTATGGATGATGGAATAGTATCATCAGAAACTGGAATAAATTTTCATACTTATTGGAACTAATTGGTTGTTGGATTACACAATTTGGATAGTTATCTATTCCAAAGATTTGAAATTGAAACCTTTAAATTCGAGATCCAGGTTCTAAATGTCTGTATTTGATAAAAATCTTTTCGTTTCATAGTAGTGAATGTATGGTTAAGTATTTACGATGTTAGCTCTTTTATGCTGTTATATTTGCATATGAAATTAGTTTAACCATGCTATCCAAGTACAAAAACCCAACAATATCTATATCAATCCCCATACACTTGCATCCTTTCTTTGTGTACTTTGATCTTCCATGCCTTACGAAAATTAGCCAGAATTGCTGAACCACCACGCCGATGGAATAGGAAAGATAGTTTTACGGTTCAAGGATTAAGGCTCAGTTTGTTTGGTGCTTTTTCTGTTTTATTTTATATTTCTTGCTTTACTTGACAATCAAAGAGCAGAAGTGTCCTAACTAATTGTAAACGAATCTTGCTTGCCAATCAGTTGATATGTTGTTGAAGAAAAGGAAATCTAGAGCCTGTTGGCTATGACTATATGTTTATGAATGGTATTCTTAGCACTGGTTTCTTGTCACAGGGCATAGATATATGCTTATAGTGAAGATTATCTTTTATGGGATTTGAATAGAATAGAGAGAAGCATCCTGAGCTTCATGCAATCCCTTTTAAGAGTAGGCATCTATTAGGTCTGGGATTCAAATTCCAACATCTACAACCGCTTCTTCTATTCTCAGGCCAAGGCTTCTTATGTAAAAAGGAAACACCTAGTGATCTTCTCTTTGATGGATCGTTGCAAAACGACATCTTGACTTTGTTTGAGCTGTACAAGATGAAATTCTCATATATGGTTCTCAAGGGGGTGTCCTTAGTTTACCTATCTCAATAAATTCTATGATTGGTTCGTAGGATACCTCGAGATTCAGCCGATTGCAGATGATATAACTATAAAAATATGTTCCTAATTATGTTAACATATTTTGTTGTCGAGGAATTACTCTTGTTTTTTAGCTGTACAAGTTGCTACAAGATTTGCTATGACTTTTTACTGTCGTCCAACCGTAACTCTGTGCTTCCTCCATTAGCTATATATTTGGAAATTTGTATTATTGTAGTCACAGTCTAAATGCACATCGAACATGATTTAAAAATAAAAAAGGAATTTTTATGGCTGACGGAAAAATTGTCAGAAGTGGGATCTGAACCCACGCCCCCGTTAGAGGACCAGAACTTGAGTCTGGCGCCATAGACCACTCGGCCACCCTGACTTTACATTTATTTTCGAACTCCTATACAATGTCCTAACAATGAATGATATGAAAATGGAGCTTACAAAGAATATTCAACATGCCCCCATCCTATCAAACAAACCTGAAACTACAAAGGTATGCACGCCTAAGACAAGCCAGGTATCTATAGAACAAGGTCAAGCTAGAAGCTGCCACCTATCCAGAAAAGCAACAGCAATGAATCAAACCCAACTATAAGGGCAACGACTGCTAGAGTAATACGAATCGAATCACCTGATGCAATGATTCCTCGTGGCGAAGACCTTGCTCTCGCAAGTGAACTGAGCAACAAGACCAAACAGGAAACAGGTGCTAATGCACCAAAGGACTAACACATAACACATTGTCCAGTGCGGTTAGTCAGGACCTGTAGCTCCTCCTACCAACAAGTCAATCAATCCTAAAGTTGATCAAGTTGGACTGTAAGGTCCCCTCTAACGACTAACGTTACCTCCAAGTCCAACTTATTGATGGAAGCTCATCAGGGTTTAATGGGGGCACAAGAGAGACTTGTTAGAGTCCCCTCTAAGGTTTCCTCCAAGTCCAACTTCTTATTAATGGAAGCTCCTCATGGCTTAATGGGACATAAGAGACTTGAAGCCTTGTGAAGACTAAAACAAGAGAAGGAAACACTATCTTTAATTTGGCCTGTACGCTTGCATCCTCTCTTGGTTTACTTTGTTCTTCCATACCTTATGCAAATTAGCCATAATTGCTGAACTGAGAGCATTGTTAATGCCATGATGCACTGAGACACGAGTTTTGCCCACCAAATCGATGAAATAGGAAGCCGCTTCTTCTATTCTCAGGCCAAGGCTTGTTTATATAAAAAGGAAACATCTAGAGAACTTCTCTTTCATGGATCGTTGCAAAATGGGGAAAAATTGGCTGAAAAAAAAAACTGTCAGAAGTGGGATTTGAACCCACGCCCTCGCTAGAGGACCAGAACTTGAGTCTGGCGCCTTAGACCACTCGGCCACCCTAACTTCACATTCAATTGTATAAGATTATTTATATAATTCTTATATAATATTCCGTAATCAATTTCATGAAAATGGACATGCAAAGACGGTTCAAGATGCACCCACCTTATCAAACGAACAAGACCAAGCTGGAAGCTGCCACCTACCCAGAAAAGCAACAACAAGGAATCAAACTTGACAATAAGGGCAACAATCATTAGGGTGATATGAATCGAATCACCCGATGCATTGATTCCTCATTGCGAAGACCTTCCTCTCACAAGTGAACCCAACAACAAGAATAAACGGAAACCGGTGCTAGTACATCAAAGGACCAACAGAAGGACATATAATGCCTTGTCTGATGCGGTTAGTTCGTACCTGATGCTCCTCCTACCAATAAGTGATCAAGTTGGACTCCAAGGTTACCTCCAAGTCCAACTTATTAATGGAAGGTCCTCAGGTTTTAATGGGGCACAAGAGACACTTGAGGCTTGTGACGGACACTAAAGCAACAAGAGAACGAAACACTATCGACCGTTTACTCGATCACGTTTCTTTGCTCTTACATTGTATGTATTGTATGCTAAACACAAATGAGATATGATAAAGGTGCTGCATTAACCTTGTTTATCAAGCATGATGGATTTCCAAAACTTTCATATCATGTTTTCCAATCATAGAAAAAATAGAACTTGGATTTTCCAAAATTTACAATTGCATTCTACTTATACATACAATTCAGCCTTTCTGTAGCTGCTCCTCCACAAAAACCCGTGTCTCATTAAAAATACAAGAGTTCTTAAAACCAGAAGCTAATTCCAAATCTTGTTCTTCACAGGACCTCTGAAAATTGTTCCTGCAATCCGGTATCCGGCATCTCAACTATTACATTCTTCTCTTTTACCGCCTCTTCATCCATTTCAGCACCATGGTTATCATGATGAAGAAGATTGGTTTGCCGTGTAGACTCCACTTCTGTTACAGTGTCAGCTTCATTGTCGCCACGGCAACCATCAGAGAATTGTATACATTCATCTACTGGCTTTCCCTTCGTACAGATACCTAGTCTACCACTTTCTATAACTTGTAAGGCTGGGATAACACAGATTCTCTGCATTAGAATCAGCTATTTCCCTTGTACCATCGATTTCCAATTCTTGTAGATTCATGTCTCCAATGAACTCGGTTACTATTTTCGCACAAGCTTCAATTGAATAAATGTTATCATCCAAAAGCTGCAAAGAATCGGCTAATTGATCTCCTACAGAATGAATGTCTATGCCTGTTGATTCTTCGTGTCTCAAATGTTTGGTCAAATCATCTTGTTGCAAAGATGATGTATTGCCGGCTTCTGTATAATCACAGGGATCAGATTTTGTTTCTTCAAACTCGAAGAATGATGAACTTTAAGAGGTTTGTGAAGTTACCTGATTGTCCATCGGCGTTGTTGAATTGATACAAGGGCTTCGAAAGCAATATCGATCCGGGAAACACCATCAAGTTGATTTTATTAAGTCTTTTTCTTTCCTCGTCCTCCACCGGCTTGAAACCAAAACCCTTGGTCCATGTTTCCACTACATTCGGAATGGCAGTTATCACGAGCTTTTCCACCTTGAATGAGATGAGCAGCTAGAGCACACATAGATTCCAAGGTGGTTACAAACATGAGAGGTGCAGGTTGAACCGCTGCTATAAAGAGCCATCAAAGCACACGGATAATGGAAAAGAGGACATACCTCTTCAATAACATTCATAAGGCTTCGACACATTCCTTGACGACGGTACTTGCTGCAAGTTGCAATAAGAGGCATCTCTGCAACTGCTACCCCATGTATCCTAGTACAAATGATGGAGAAAAACCGAAAGTAAACCGATATGTGGATGAAGTAGAAGGTTCAAACTTCAAAACAGATTGAAACATTATGTCGGAAAACCTGAAAGATAATTGCTTAATAAACTAGAAGGGGTAGGCTAATGTCGTATAAAATGATCTAAATAACTAATTACCTACTATACTACCTTATTGATGCCACAGATATAACCACATCATCCTTCTCCAATACAAGAGAGTAAAATCCGGAAAAATTCAAGCGTGCAAATTCTGACCTGATCGTTTAAAAAAAACGTGAATCAGAAGCGATCCAAAAATCAGAAAAGAGAAATTATGAACCATGTAAGAGACAAATCAAGAACTACATGACACTGAAAAGAAATAAACCAAAATAACCAGTTTTCTACAAACTATATGCCATGGTAACCCTGCATGAAATGAACAAAAAATAATGTAATCATCAAACCAGACAATATGCAAGGAGTATCGGGAAAAAAATGTCTCGAAATGTAAAAGATAGGCCCAGAAAATTGAAAATGATGATAAAAAGGAAATAAATCAAAAAGACCAGGTGTCTCACCCCCAGTTGTACATGAGATGGGGCATCATGTCGACACCTGTTCTTGGATCAACCATAGACAGAAAGCATTCTTCCATGATAGACAGTGCAACGGCCAGTATTGAGTTGCATTCAGCCTTCAGGGCCAGCCTTTGAGCTGACTGAATTTTCTGATCTTCATGAATACATCTAAGAAGCGTCCAAGAAAAGCCATCAGAGAGGTGATTAATAATCCCGAGACGAGAACTAAGACCGGAGTGAAGCTGCAAATACCAGTGAAACTTGGCTTCAGAACTTATAATGTGCATAACGTGGAAAACACCAAGCTACAGTAACAGATCTCCAAGCCTAAATGGCAAAGCTTCAATGAGCTTGTAAAGGCAAGCAGTAATATTTCCATAGGTCTAAATGAGACTAACAATCAAACTCGAAAAACTTTAAGCAAAACATATTAAAGGGTAGTAATTCAAACAGACAACCAACACGATAAAAGCTATGAATATATATGCAAAGACTTAAACCCACACCTACCTCATTGCAGATTCAAAATAAAAGTTACGAGGGCAAAGACTTATGAACAGAATATTGGAACTATTTAGCATGCTAAATCCAACAGATACTTTACATCATAATCAGAGTCGAGGAGTTTGAATCTCAAAAGTACCTCTTTGCAGCTTCCTCCACAAAGCCAGGTATCAGAAACCTTTTCTTCAAACTGACTTTTATCGTTCAGGCATGCCTTATGATCTGTTTAGAAAAACAGTGTGATAAGCTGGGAAATTAGGAAAACAAATCACCCAGTATCATAAAATCACTCAAATTAAAATGGTACATGGGCACTTTCAGCAAAAAGCCTGAAGTTAAGAGAACCAAGCACATTCAAAGAGCACAACAGGGTAGTTTAGTGTATCTTATTCTCTATTTTTACACTTTCAGCCTATCGTTACTCATGTACCATGACACTCCTGCTTCTCGATGATCAT